GTGTGCAAATTGTTCACTCATACCCACTCATAGACATTCACACAAATACACATATAGAGGCGGATATTTTTGTCAGATTTAGTTACAAAATTCCTTATAAGCGAATTTTCTCACAACGTTCATATCATAAATTTGTTATACTACATAATTCGCATAACAAAATTAAGAACAATAAATTTCGATTTTCTTTGCTTTTGCAACTTTTTGGGCACTTTTTGAATTTTAAATCTTCGTTCAGATTTATTATTTTTATTTTTATATTAAATAATTTATTTATAGACACATACATATGCACATTTAATAACTGAATTTCTTGTATATTATATATAAAAGTATATACAATTTTTTTGTTAAGTTTTGGTTATTCAGATAGCAATTTGAAATATGCATTTCAAATGCACTTTTCACTTTTTTAACTTATCCAGAATTTTGTATGTAGAATTTTTTTTTGTAACTACGCAGTTTTGTTAAAACTATATTATATAGCTTTCCAATATATATTTATGTATATTTTTAATATTCCCAATGCAAAAATCCTGGCAGCAGCCGCAACTAACCTTAGCGTTTCAAACACACTATACGCTGTCGAAACCCCGAGAACACTGATGCTGACCAAGTCGCGGTGCCGAGAAAGCGACCCCAAGAAATAACGCAAGGCGCACACACACACACTTGCACACAAACATACCAACACACACACGCACTCACTCACTCATACAGTGGCACGCAGTATTGAATAATTTTTAATTTCGTAAAATTTCCCATTAAAAAAAAAAGAAAAGCGCTTTCGCAACTTTTCATGGGCCATTTGAAATTTCCCTCGATATTTCCCCAAATACACATATACATATACCTTAATGTATCCGTGTATATGTGTGCATATGCAAAGATCTTACGAAGAGCGAGCTCACTTCTTCTCCTCTCTCTTTGACTATGCTCGCATTTTCTTTTACTGCATTCAAGGCGTATGATGTCTCACAGACAGGCGTGAAAATTATGCGTTCTTTTTTCTCAATTCAAAAATATTCATACGTGAGTACATATATATTTTTTTATTTTTTTTATTTTTTTATAAGCTTGTGTGTCTGTATCCATCCAAAGTGATGCTATAAATAGCGCATTAATGTACGAAACATGCCCGAGTCGGACACGGCTAACAAGATGAGAATCTATTTTGATTAAATAAATATTGAGAAATTTTCTCAATTTTTTTTTCACACGGTGCAGACCGATTTTGGTACATACAACTATAATTTTTTATATACATACATATTCGCATCTATCTTTGTGACGTGGCACAAGAAAATACAATTGAAATGATAATTTCAAAACTTAAATTTAGGATCAAGGAATAAAACAAAATTAAAATATAATATAGAATAGAAAAATAGTTTTTTTGTATATTTTAACAAATATAAAACATATATATTTAAAAAAGTATTTTATTAGGTTTCTTGAAAATGTAACCGAGAGCAATCTATTTGGAAGAGCTAGAATAAATTATTTATATTTCATGRAGCTGACATGCTTACCTGTTTCTAAAATATATATTCATATATATTTGTATTATTATATAGTAGAGTATATTAAATATTTAAGCGATTGTAGAGTTTTCAATACGTAAAGCTATGGCTATGAAAATATAGAATATTTCTTCTAAGTGAGTCACTCAAACAAAATCCTAAAATAGTATTGATTTTTCGCTTTATTGTTCTTATCCAATTATAAAAAAAAAAAACCCGCATAAGTAAACATAATTTTTTACTCGTTGACGGTAACAGTTTAGCTATCCGAGAGAAATACATAATGAAGGGTGTTTGAAATATTAATTAAAACTATTATTACACCCCATAATTCCAATTAATATTTATTTAATTTATTTCCCTAACAAAAATAGACCATGTGCTCCAATCAGTGCATATACATATACATTCCATTCCATTCCATTCACATGAATTACTCCTCCCTGTTCATAGCACAAATTCCTCTGCCTCTTTCACTTACGATCAGTAAATCGTTTGTTACAATAAGGTAATCAAGAGAAGGGAATTCCCCTATGACAGCGCTTTTAATTTACTATTGAGACCGCCTTTAAATAAGAATTGGTCCTTCAAGACGGAGTCCAAAAGACGTTATGCAACACTGTAAACTCAATGCGGTAAACTTTCCATAATTACCCAAAGAAAAACCATTTGTTTTCATATTTTTATGCAAAAGAATTTGTTTTTCCATTTATTTGTCATAAAAATATAAACGCTTAATAACTGAGAATAATTAGATTTTTTAAAAATACTTGTACATATTTAATTTGTATGCTTCACAATTACAAAAGCTATGAATGTGTATATTTTATTAATATTTTTTTTTTGAATTTTCTTAAACATCTCAATTTATTTGCAAAGGCCATAGAAATTTTCAACTAATTTTAGATACATTTGCCAAACAGCTTGCAAGCATAGATTCTATTTGATTTATTAAAAAATTGACCGAATTTTGTATTCAACAAAAATTATGTATGTGCAGTATATGAAGCTAAGGTATTACATATATAAGCTATTGACTGGTGGGCTTCAGATATATTGAGAAATATAAATAAGTGATCTGTGGCTGAGGCTGCACTTCATTTAACTTGCAATCCATGGGCTTACAGGCAGTATTTTCTGTTGAGTCAAGCTATTTCATACATATATCCAATTTAAATATGATTCATATATAATTATAGATTTTATTGCTAAAAATTTGGTTTATTATTAATGTGGGAATGCTTAAGTAGAACGTTTTTGTAGCTGGATGTCGAAAGGCTCTATTGGACTCCAATTTGTCACCTCTCATCAGCTCAATAGTTGTTGAGGTCGGCGTATTCCAGCTCCTGAGCAATGGTTTTGTACTTCTCCTTACCTTTGCTCACCTCATCTACGAATGCAGCAGTCGAAAATATATAATAATAATAATAATAATAGAAAAGACGTTATCATTTGTATAGAGTTTTTTAATTTATTGCATAGTAGATTGTGAATACAAATGATAATTAAATAAAATTGAGTTAAACAAATACACAATGCGTTTGTCACATAAAATTTAATGAAGGCTTTTAACAAAATCTAAATACATTTACTTTAACTACACAGGCAACACACGTTTACATAGAACACCTACGAGTATGCTACGAAATACATAAACAAGAAATGTGCAGAAAAATATGTGTAGATAGACTTTGCTGGAGCTCTTGGAGGCGGTCAATGGAGCAGCGCTTATTCCTTGAGGATGAGCTCGACAAAGGCGGTATCGAGATCGTCGCCGATATCCTTGTAGCGCTCCTTCTCCAGGACAAGGTCGTCTGTTCATTGTTGTCAAATCATAAGCGAACACAGAAGAGTAAAAGAAAATACCCAGAAAATTTGAAATTAATAAAAATGAAAATATAATTAAGTCAAGTACATAAATCAATATTGATAAACCCCTCACAAAACATAGAAAAATAAACCTTTTACAGAGACACATTGAAACTGACACTATAATGGATTATAATCCAATTTGGACAACAAATAAAATCAACTGAATATATTTACCTCTTTAAATAAAAATAAATAAAAAGTAACGGCAGTTGCACTGCTTGACGGCGGCAGCGTTTGTGGTCGGTAGTGCAGTGCAGCGCTAGCTGTTAAATTCAAAATCAAAAATAAAATGCAACAGGCAAACAACAAGAGCTCAAAACAAAACTCAGCCAAGCAGCGTGTTTTCTTTTGTTTTTGCTTTGCTTCGATTAGATTGTTTTAATTAATATGAATACAAGTTTTTGTTGTGCATCAAATAATAAACAAATAAAAGCAGGGCAGCAGTTTGTAGCGGTTGTATGTCTTGCGCAGCGGATTGCGGGGTATTTATCGTTATCGCTATCGGTAAAGATAACGATAGCGATTTTCGTTGATTTAGGCTGGTGGCGCCTCGGCCTCAGCGGCTGGTGCAGCGGCCTCGGCAGCTGGCGCAGCAGCTTCAGCAGCTGGTGCCGGTGCAGCCTCTTCTGCCGGTGGGGCAGCTGGTGCTTCGGCCGCTGGCGCAGCTCCTTCAGCTGGTGGTGCAGCAGCGTCAGCTGGTGGCGCTGCACCCTCGGCCGGTGGAGCTGCACCTTCAGCTGCGGGTGCTGCGCCCTCAGCCGCTGGTGCAGCTCCCTCAGCCGGTGGAGCCGCTCCCTCAGCTTGTGGTGCTGCGGCTTCACCTTCTGGAGCTGGTTCTGGCTCAGAGCCGGGTGGTGGTGGCTCATAGTTCTTAACGAACGGCACTTCAGCGCCCTCTGGCGGCAAGTCGATCGAGTATTCGAATGGTGGTGGTGGTGGCGGTGGTGGAGTGGGTTCCTTTGGTGGTGGTGTTGGCTCCTTTGCCACTGGGACACCAGCCTCTGTAACAACAGCTCCCTCGACACCCTCCTCGCCAGCCGCAGCCGCCGCTGCAGCTGCAGCAGCAGCGGCCTCCGCCTCGGCCGCAGCTCTGGCCTCCTCCATGGCGGCCAGCTCTTCGGGCGTGGGCGTCGGCAGCTTGGGTGTGGGTGGCTTTGGATTGCGCGGCGTCCAGAATGGCTCTAAGCCCTTGATCAGGTCCAGGAACGCCTCGTCGAGACTGTCGCCGATGAGGCAGTAGCGCTCTTTTTCAACGATTAGGTCGTCTGAGATGTTTGGCATGCGAACGCGATGGCAGAAAGCAAGCAACACAAGCAGTCGGGTGAGAGATAAAGCAATAGAGAGATAGAGATAGAGAGATAGAGGCATGGAGATAGCAAGAGTGAAAAGGAAGCATAAGCGAAGCTAACTAAATATTAAATGCTTTCCTAAGCAGCGGGTTAGTGGGCAAGTCGGGCGAATGGCTGGGAGGGCGGGGTAGCTTGTGAATCAGGTTAATGATCGTGCATTTGACGAACAGGAAAACAATCCATAATTAGTTTTAGCCATAACGAGATCCTTTTTGATCTATTTCTATAATTTGTTTACTACTTTATCAAATGAAATCAAATTCGATTCGATTTAAGCAGGAGGCGCTTCAACAGCTGGTGCATCAGCAGCAGGAGCTTCAGCAGCAGGTGCTTCCGCAGGAGCTGCTTCGGCTGCTGGAGGAGCTGCCTCTGCAGGGGCTGCTTCAGCAGGAGCTGCATCTGGAGGGGCTGCGTCAGCAGGAGCTGCATCCGCAGGAGCTGCTTCAGCAGGCACGCCATCTACAGGAGCGCCCTCAGCCGGTGCTGCATCTGCAGGAGCTGCGGGAGGAGCATCACCCACTTCGAAATTCTTTACATATGGCACTTCAGCGCCCTCTGGCGGCAAATCAATATTGTAATCAAATGGCGGCGGCGGTGGTGGTGTGGGCACTCTCACTGGCTCCTCAATAACTTCGGCAACAGCTGCTGCTTCGTCTGCAGCGGCTCCATCGGCTGCAGCAGCTTCGATTTCTGCACCCTCCCCTTCGCCTGCACCCTCGGCCGCTCCTTCGGCAGCTAGCTTGGCTGCCTTGGCAGCAGCCGCTGCCTCCCGCTGCGCCGCAATGGCAGCGATCTCCTCTTCGGTTAACTCGGGCGTGGGCGGCTTGGGGTAGCGATCGTTATAGAACGGCGGCATGCCCATTAGCTCGACGAACGTAAAGTCCAAGCTATCATTAATGATCGCATAGTGTTCTTTCTCGTTGATCATCTCGTCTGGTGGCGGCGGTTTGGTAATTTAGTTGGTCAGTTCAGTTTTGGTTAGTTAGTGTTATTAGAATTGAAAAAATATCTTGATTAGTGCAAATATTGGCAGCTCTGGTTATGGCTAGTTAACTCTGGAATCCAAGAAGCCAATTCTGTGTGGGAACACAATCTTCACAACAACGAAGACAACAATTGGCTGAAACAGTTCATTCTTGGGTTAGGTAATACAACAAAAAAGAGTCCGTCTGTCATGTGTTTTGGTTTTTCATTTACCACCATAAATTTGTTCTTTTTTGAAAAATACTTTATTTGTGCAATTGCAGCAGCATGGTATTGTATTTGCATAGTATGTAATATATATATATATATATG